GTACGATAGGCCTGAATAGCAAGAGTAATTCTACCTTCTCTCTGAGTTAATATCTCTTCACGTGGTTGGGACATATTACTTTGCAAGTGATGTTCGCGATGCCAAGAAAAAGTGTCCGGCTCGGTGGTGTGTCCGGCTCGGTGGTGCTTTACGTTATATGATACGATTTATCATATACCTCAGACAAAGAATGCTGACTTTAGGGATTTTATGCTTCGGCTTTCGGGTCATGGGGACAGATGGAGGATGGTTCTTCGGGGGTTCTTCTTTCTTTTGTTTTGGATTTTTGGTGAAATTTTGTCAAGTTATGTAGATATGTATACACGATGTACAGTAGTAGATAAAAGTACAACAAATCTTTGGTTTTGGGGGGGTTCATGATCCGCCGGCTGCTTTGCTCATGAAGAAGCCTTTGAGCGGGCCCATGGAATCTACAGCTCTCAAGCCTAGGCTTCGTAGTCCTACGAGTGGCCCTGATTCTACACTATAGAGCCTGTGCAGCTTGTCACATACGCCCAGCATGGCATTGTTCTCCGCGTATCGTTCGCTGTTGTAGCTTTCCAATGCTAACGTTGATCCAATGTCCTGACCAGTCTGAACAGCATACGATATTGTTCGGACAAGTGCTGCTGCATCGCCCTGTCCTTGGTTGAGGCCTTGACCTGCAAGCGGATGTATGGTATGCGCAGCGTCACCGACTAGTGCGACTCGTTCGCCCGTGTAAGTGTCTGCATGTCGCATACGAAGCGGAAAGGATGCAACAGTGCCGGCCTGTACGTTGGTCACCCGCATGGGGATTGCGTGCTCGTCGACAGGTGTGTGCTTCTCTCGCCATGCAACTTCTTCTTCATGTCCCGACGATAGTGTGTGCAAGTACTCGAGATCAGTGGGCGACAGTCGGAAGCCTGCGTTGACCATGGCAACAAACTCCTGCTGCGACAGTGCCTTGAGCTTGGCGGCACGCTCCGGCGTTGTGCTCCATACAAGCGTCGACATGTTACCAGGCAATGGCAGCATAGCAATTGGTCCAGTCGGCAAGAACCGCTGGTACGCAATCTTGTGATCCGATCCTCCCCAGCCCTGGCCTTCAAGCTTCAGGCTGGCTACAACTCCATGTCTATTGTAATCGAATCCTCGCGACTCAATGCCTGCAAATGTCCGAACTGGACTGTTCGCACCATCGGCGCCTACCAATAACCTCGCGGCGAGGGACTTCCCATTTGACAATGTGAGTATCGGCCAGGAAGAAAAGTCCATCTTATCCTTATCGGTGCCCAGGTCTATCGAATTGACTTTGGTAGATGTGTAGAAATCGACACCGCCGAGCTCTTCAAGCCGGCTCAGCAGGGCAGTGACAGTGTTGACATTCTCAATCATGTATGCAATGGTCGTCGGCTGCGCGGGATTGCGGGGAGTAAGGAGAGGCTTTGCGGTGTGCCAGTCAAAGGATATGCGTGCTCCGCTCACGCCGTCCCATACTTGCATCTCCTGGTATGGCTGTACTCGAGGCTGGTTGACATGGGCCCACGCTCCAATCTCTACACAGCATATGTTAGACAATTCTATGATTCAAGGATCCACATGCTCGTGCGCACCCTGCAGGTTTCTCACGGAAGCCGGTGTGAGGGAGCTACATCTATTCGAGAAAGTCTCCAAGCTGGCGTCTTGCGCCAGCCGGCTCTTGTGCAAATCCTGGCCCTCGATAAGTGCAACTTTCAATCCATTGGTAATTGGCGATGCTTTTAGACCCGTAAGTAGACTGAGGCCAGCCGGGCCTCCACCTACACAGACGACATCGTAGACTTCTGGTGCATCTGCGGAGCTCGAGAGAAACCTCCGCTGGGGCTGCAGGTGCACACAGCGTGTCAATGGCGACGACAGGGTTCGAGACGGTGCCAATGATATTCGAGGCGGCATTGTGAGCCTGTGAGGAGCTGCCGTGACATACGCGAGTATATATGATTTGCGCACCTCGAGCGTTGGAATGGTGGTGTCATAGTGGTGTTTGGCGTGTTTGTAGATCCACGCTAGCTAGGACATTACTTATCTTATCGGGTGGCGGGTCGAAGCGGCATGCCGCCGCAATGTGGAGGCTGGCTAGGTCCCTCCAACTCTCCAACTTCATGCGGAACCACAACCACGCCCCAGCCGGCCAATCTAAGCGAACGGCATCAGTGCCGCCGGTACCTCTGCGATGGTACCATTCGGTCCGTCGAGAAACATGCCGTTTATCCAGATGCCACCCAGCATATTGATTGCCTGCTGTCAAGGCATGTTGTGAAAGGATCAGATAGCAACCTCACGGAGAAGACTGGCAGACTGCCGATTGAGCACACAGGTCTCTCATCAATAATCACTGGAGCTAATCTGGCCGGAACCCGTGTGTCCGGATTGCCCTTCAAGCCGGCACTGGCTGAGACTGCCCTATGGTGCAGGGTCAAAACGACTGCTTTCAATGGGTGGAACTTTCCCTATCTGGGCGCCCAAACAAGGGATCAGAACCATGGGATCTGGCAAAGTCTCTTCATTCTAAGCGTCTCCTATAGAACCGGCACTATTGGAACCACTGGGCATGGCTCGTTTATGCACAACGCAAGACGTGAGATTTAATCATTACTTCCTTAAAACTTCCTTTCGGCTTCGGTAGTATTGCTTATCTGTTGCACTGGTTATTTAATCGGGTCCATACCATGATGCTGACCTGTCTTTTCCTCGATACCAGCCCATCAGGCACGTCCGTCCGCCGTTACACCCAATGCATCCTCAGCTGTTAGGCTGGCTTCTTCTTACACATCGTCCCAAGGTGCCTTGAAAGCCTGCTGGCACACCCTTACAGTCGCGTTGTGTCTTGTATAAACATCGCCTAGGAGTGCCATTTTGGTCTGGAAAATTCGACTGTTCCCCTAAACACTCCCCCGCTGGCCCACACAATGAGCCATCAAGCTCACCAACGTATATCCCTTACCGAGCCGTTCGGAGCTGTGAGTTCCTGCGAAACCGATTCCGATCTGGAAATACTTCAACCGTCTCACCCTCGACGACGTTCCCTAAAGCGAGAAGTTTCAAAATCCTTCTTGCATACGTGTAGCTACCTCGGAAAGCGTCGGAAAAGGTCACAATCAGTGCCAGCGGCGTCCATCGACGGCCCTTACCTAGTACTGCCGCCTGGAGGCTACATGATGTCACTATCATCTTCCGATGTCAGTAGCAACCACTCTGTCCTTACTACACCACTTCCCAGCCCTGCCATTGACGACACGGAACACGGACTGGAACATGGACGGAGACCGTCGCAAGTGGCCGAGCTTCTCAACCGGCTCAACTTCAGGCTCAAGCGGCTCTTCGGCAGCCGGAGAGGCTCGGTCGAAGATGAAGACCCGTCAGTGGCCTCTTCTGACACACGACGTTCGAGCTTGTCTTTCAACCTGCGTGGTCCTACAGACCCAGCAAATATCGACCGCACCCCAGAATATCAGATGTGGAATGGGTCGTTTCAGCTCCCCAATGTAAGCGAGTTCTTTGACGCAAACGGCGATGTTGGCCCCAGTTCCTTCTACAACACTGCTGACTGGAATGCTTTCCAGGAAACGTTGCAGACACAAGGGAATGCGGTCATACAGACACATGTCAACAGCCATCGAGGTTCCAATGCGGATATGGATCTGGACCGATTAGATTGGTTTCGAGCATATGGCACGCAGGGCTCTGATTGTGAGCCTCGGACACGCAAAGACTCGTTTTTCGTCTTTGGCGATTTCCTAAGATCACGACGGTCCAGCAAAGTGGACAAAGGGAAGGGGCGTATAACTATGGACAACGATACAGCCGTAGGGCCGCTAGACGAAATGGCTCTTCTATCTAGCGGTAGTACGAGATTGGGAGTGGAAACACGCTGTCTCGCTGAGATTGGAGTTCTCCCTCGCGTGTCAATGGAGACGATGATGCCCCTTTCGCCAAAGGAATCACAGGATGTCCCACAGGCAGAGTTCTCCAGTTTGGAATCCAGCACGCCATCATTGCATTGCTCGGGGTCTTCGACACCACCCGGTGAGGAAGCGCAGGAAAGACAGATGCACAGAGCACAACCAATCAGCTCTTGCATCGCCATACCACTTTTGTTAGAGGGACAGGCGGGAGACGCAAAGGCGGCCTGTGGGTCTCCAGCATCGTCGGTCTCTAGTATGGATGATCAACCGGTTCCCGTTAGACCTGCAACACCGGTTCTGGTCCCCACCATTGTGTCATCGCCATCGCCACTGACCCCGATGCAAAGTCTCAGTCTAGGTCCTCGGCAACACGAGATGGAATGGAACTGGTGTTCTTCGAGCAAATGCAGATCCCGTGTCTCGTTGTGCGAGATGTTGATTGATGAAGTGCCTCGGACGGTGTGCTGTTGCACTTGTGTTCAGGGAGGAGGTAACAGGGCATCGGGTGGACTGGGTTTGAGGAAGAGTCTGGATGATAAATGTTGGTGGGATGGCGATGATGGTGGCAAGGGTGGTGCAACGCGGAGATTGCACATGTGAGCGTGAACGTTCAGGAAAACAAAAAAAGTGGTCGCGGCTTGTTGGTGACGGGATGAGACGGGTAGTGCGTGATCATCACGAGTTGCTCTGTTCAGCGTTAGTAATAGCTAGTAATGAATTGGACCTTCATAAACTTTTCGCCCGGTGCTTCACATTTTTGTGCTGTGTGCCTGGACTTGTTTGTGTTTTGATATCCGAGGCTTGTGTTTGGGAAAGGGTGCATGGGATGTGAGTCAGGGTATCGCAATGATGTGCATGGGAAACATGATTTTCCATAATCAACCGTCGTGTCGGTTATTCGTATTATAACGTGATACTATGCCAACTGTACTGCGGCTGGTGCTCGTACTCCCAAAATATGCAAATACTGCCGAGAAGAACCGCAATGCTCTGAATCAAAAGACAGGGGAGACCTCGCCAGGCCTCGTGCTAAAAAGAGCGAGTCATGTATCGCTTCCCCAAATGGGTATCGAAAACTGAAAGGACTGTTTTTGAATCCGAGACGCTATGCATGAGAAGAGGGAGTGAAAAATGCTGAGAAAATAAAAAGATGCGTGCTTGTTTTGTGGTCGCCGGGCCTCTTTACAAGAGAACGGCAAAGCCGAAAAAGACACTGCCAAAAAGAGCAGCCAGACCCAGACCGGCGTTGGGCATGAAGAGGGAGCCGGCGCCTTTGTTGTTGTTGCCGCTGTTGTCGCTGCCGCTGCTGCCGGTGGGCTCGGCACCACCGAAGCCAGTGACTGGGATGGTGTTGCTGGCGGTACCGGATGGCTTTGCGGTGGAGGCCATGGTGGTGGGGAGAGAAGTGTTGCCGCGGTAGGGCTGTTGGGCACCGCATGGATGGTCCTGACTGAAAGAGTGTGTTAGCAGTGTTTTGAGATTATGAAGTGTTTTGCAAGTGCTTACCGGCAGGCGCTCTGGCAGGCAGCGTCGTTGCCGCAGTTGTCAACGCAGTTGTTTCCCCATTGCTGGCAGATGAAGAAGGGCAGGGTCTGGGAGTATTCGGTAATGTTTGGGGAGACGCCGTTGTCGCAGACGCAGTTGTAGGTCAAGTTGTCGGAATCACAGTCATTTGACTCTGTGCTCATGGAGTTGACGCCAGGCTGTTGGAGGCAGATGAGAGGGCATTGTGCCACGTTCTGAGAGCACCAGTAATCTGGAAATGTGTGAGTTGATAGCCGAGGCAAACGGAGAGCAGGAGGCAGAATAGCACATACCTCTGGTGGACTGTGGAACGGTGTCTGGGTCGATTGTGTAAGGATAGTTCATCTGAGGAGTTGACTGAGCAGCAGTGAGGCCAGTCAAGGCGGCAATGCCGAGAGCGAAGACGGAACGCATGGTGGGGATTATGGAAATGGCGGTGGGTGTTGTTGGAGTGTTTAGTAGGATATGTGTAGTGGTATGTAAAGCTCAGCGGTAGCGGGAACAAGCGACTGGTGAGGGAATTACAACAAGTTATATACGGTCAGCGACAGAAAGTGAACGAGTCAATGCAAGGGGCACGGATGGTCAAGCAGCGAAGGTGAAGGCTTAGAGGAGGCTGGATGGCACGGCATGTGTGGCATAATATATAGCGGGAGGGATGGCATCGGCAGCAGGCAATAAGCTAGTCGACGAGGCGATAGGAAAGCTCACGATAGGGACCGTGCGGGGGTCTCCCCGCCGGCCAGTGCTGAGAGGCGGGGCGATGATTCGAGCATCCGCGGCGACATGTGCATGTGCGGCTAGAAAGAAGATGCTGCAGGCTGTGGGGAGACATTGCGGCGAGCGGGATTTGCCCAAATGGCTGCGAGCAGGCGACTAGGGGGGGGGACTAGACGGTCAGGGGGGGGGAGGAGAGGTTGGCGCCACCAGCCTAGCATCTGTCTGGCTTAGTCACTCGTGCCCTTGGTCGTCTGTCCAGCATCCAGGGTCCTCGCACGCATCCGAGCGCGACCTGCCCATCCCCCATTATGCATCCGTTCGGCGGGCCATGGACATGGCCATTGTCAATCCACACACGCTAGCCCGCTACTCTACTTAGGCCGCTGCACTGCTGTGTTGATGTTATTGCTGTTATTGCTGCTATTGCTGTTGCCGCCGCACTGCTGAGCAACCCACCGTCCGGAAACACGCCCAACCCCTCCGAACACCCCCCTCTGGAGACTCGACAGCATACGTACTCTACCCGTCAGCCCTCCCAGCCACAAGTGCATGGAGCCGGCCAAGTCTGAGACTCGAGAGCCGTCGCCGCCGTCGCCAGACGGCAGCAGTGTGGCCGTGGTGCCACCCTACTGGCAACAGCACCAGCGCAGTGCCAGCTACCGCAGCACTTGCTCTGCAGACAACAACAACCGCCCTGCGCCCATCGGCCTCGAGGACCATACTCATGACGGCTCCGACCACTGCAAGGCGCTGTGGGCGAAGGGCGTCACCATAGACGATTACGTCGTCGTCAGTGGCACTGCACCGGCCATCGGCGCATACGTCGTCTGGAACTGTACCGTTCAGACGCTCGATGTGAGTTTGCCCCCAACACCCATGCGCTAGCCTGCCGCGCCCTTGTTGTCCAGCCAATCGCCGCCCAGCCTGGCCTCCCATGCCACACCATCCACACCAGGTTGCGCATGCACAAGGGCCCGCGGTGGAGCAACGAGATGCATCTTGCTAACTATCTTTTTCGTCCAGGGAGGCCCCATGAAGATACGCAAGAGGTAGGTGTCGCTGTCATGTTTCCTTTGCCCTGTGCCTCGTGCACCACCCACGTAGTGTACACTACTCCAGTTAGAGCACTGTATTGACACCCCATCGCCCAGATATTCCGAGTTTGAGGAGCTGCACGCAAAGCTGCGGCAGACATTCCCCCATGCCGCCGGCTCGCTGCCCCAGCTGCCCCCCAAGTCGGTCATCTGTAGGTTGCACCACCTCTCTCCACCCCACTCCGATAGTGCCGTTGACTGACTTGCTGGGCGTAGCTCGCTTCAGGCCCCGTTTTCTGGAAAAGCGGAAACAAGGGCTGTCGTATTTTCTAAAGTTTGTCTTCTATCGATAACCACCCTTAGCGCAGGTTGGCTGACTTTTTTTAGCTGCGTCCTTCTCAATCCGGAATTTGCTGGCGCACCGGTGCTCAAGGCCTTTTTGTTCCCGTGATGTCATTTGCCGTATACCAGTATTGCTTTTGTCCCTCTATTCTGCCCACGGTAGGGCCTGGGTCGCGCACTTCAAGGGCGTTTGGTGCGACGCTGTTGGCTCTCTTGTGTGCGCTACCACTAGTGCCAAGGCCTCGAGGTTTCTGTTTCATCTTTTTGTCTCGCGCAGCTGCGTCACTTGTACATACAGACACACAGACATACGTATACATACATATTTGCAACCAGCCTTGCAAGTCCATGGCAGTTCAAACAAGAGGCGTCGACAACGGTGCAGTTGCTGACCGTGTGTCGCCCTAGGACAGTAGCCAAGTGATTGGCCGGGCAGCCTCGGTGGCGCTGCCAGTCGCCCAAGCATGTCTGGGTTGCTGTGCTGCAATTCGCTGCGTGTGCCGCGAAGATGCTGGAGCAATATGAAAACGTGACGAGTGTGCTATGAAGCTTAATCCGACGTCTGCTCGCCGGGGCAAAGGGTCGGTCGTGTGTGCAGCAGCCGTGGGAAGCGGTACAGGTGCAGCAAGCTCGCCTGCCAAAACAGCGCGGACGAGCTCTGCGAATCGACGACCCCCTAACGGCTCGCGTTTTGCATGAACCCAGCACGGCGCGACTCTCAATGGCAAGCTCGACAATGGGATGCTGAAAAATGTCCCAGCCAGTCGCGAATGATCTTCAGCTTGCTCAACATGGCCAACGCCGTTCGGCCTCTGCTGCGAGGCTCGAATGACCGGCAGACCAGACTCAACTTCTTGCCCGTGTCGCGCGATGACGCCCTCGCCCACGCCCACGCACACTCCCACGCACACGTCCAGCGCAACACCACACCCACCGCCACCATCGCGACACGCCGGGCTTCACGTTCCGGGCCCCTGATTGCGCTTGCAGACGACGACAAGCCCGTCCTCCAGACCTCGCCCGACACGCCCGACACGCCCGCCGCCCGCACCACGAGCAGAAAGCGGCCTGCCACAGAGGTCGACCCAGACCAGCCCGACTCACGACCGCCCACCAAGATCACCGTCACACAGCCCCACGGTGACCACCTGCCTGTCCCCAACAGTGTTTCCGTGCCCCTGCGCTTCGACGCCGCCCATGTCCCTTCGCCAGCGTCGACGCCGCGACCAGCCAGCGCTGGCAAGCTGACTGCCTCGACCCCAGCCGTCCCCGCCCCTGCCTCGACGGCCTCCTCGACCGACAAGAGGAGCCTGCGGAGCCACGACGGCGGATCGCGCCTCAAGAGCCATCTAGCCATTTACTTTTACAACTACGACGACATCATCGCAGGCGTCTCCAAGGACGACGGTAATGCTTGCCGTCCCCGTGTCGCTCTGCGTGCTGGCTGACGTCGCATACAGAATTTCTTGCTCTCGACACGCCCATATACATTGTCGACGAACCCGTCAAGAGCAACACCCCTACACCCACCACACCACAGCCCTCGCGCAACTCAGTGAGTCCAGCGCGCTCAAGAAGAGCAAAACCCGCCTCGCCTACTTCGCCTTCGCGTCATGGCTCAGATGCGGCTATACCCCCGGCGCAATCCTCCACATCTTTCCAGGTTCTCAACTATGCCACCATAGCCAATGCAATCCACCACGAGGATGGCCAAGATCCCCTTGCCGACTCGGTCTACTTTACCCAGCACCGGCGCGCGGAGCGCAAGGAGAAGCAACTGCGCAACATTGAAAAAGAGCGCGCTATGCACGAAAAGGTGCAACTGGAACGCCTGCTCGACGGCCTACAAGGTCCAGACTGGCTCAAGGTCATGGGCATAACAGGTGTCACAGACGGTGAGAGGAAGGATTGGGAGGCCAAGCGTGATTACTTTATCAGAGAAGTAGAAGCGTTGGTCGACAAGTTCCGCGTGTGGAAAGAAGAAGAGAAACGGCTACGCGCTGATAAGGAAGCCGCCCTAGTCGCAAAAGAAGAAGACGACGAAGCAGACGGCGACGACACGGAAGAATCCGACAGTTCCGTTGCAAACACACGAGACGCACCTCCGCCACGGCACCAACCCAAGGAGCCAGAACCCCCCAAACCTAGACGGCCGCCTCGCCCCCATGGCTTCCTCCTTCCCCTCATCCCACCCGAGCCTGCAGCACCCTTCCAGTCGTTTTACGCCAAACCCCATCTCCGCGCTGCAGCGCTGGGCAAGCACCGCCACGGCCGCAACGCCAGCGCCTTTGGCCAGCCCATTCCCGAGTTTGCCGAAAAGGAATTCGAGCTGCCGGATGACTTTATCGATCCCCAGTTCTTACGCGACAATGCGAGACAGAGGCGAAGAAGAAAGCGTGAGAGTGGGGTTGGCGGTGCCGCAAATTCGGCTTCTACGTCGAATCCGTAGTAGTGCTAACTCCTTTTTTTATTATTTCTTTCTCTTCCTTGACGGATTCTGAACGGGATTTTCGTGGAATGGTCGAGATTTCTTTCTCTTCTCTTCCTTCGTTTGCATTCTTCCTGGTTTCTTCTTTCTGTTATACCCTTTATATGAACTTCACCGCATAGCTGCAACCGCCATGTATCCCACTTTCCGTGCGAAGTCAAAATCCAGGGCGTAAATTTCCATATTGGGAGGGGGCGAGGCGTTGTTCTTGGGAGGTGTCGTCGTTTTTTTGTTCTTCCTTTTCTTTCATTTAATATGCATGTATCGGGTTTCGGGTTATGCAAAGGGAAAGGCGGGGGTGTTTTCGCCTTCTTCTCAGGCAAATGCATCGTCGTCGTTGTGTATAGATAGGAGTTGGTATGTAGTGGGCTTTGTTGCCCGACCAAACAATCACTGAAAGCAAGCAACATGTATATGCATTTGGCATGAGTCGGGACATGGTGGGTTTGACTGTGTGATTTGACGCTTAAAATACATGACCGTGACAACGGATGGAAGCTGACGGTGCAGCTTGAACTCATCCTAGTGTTTCCTTCATAAAATCCACCTCAATTATCTACAAGCAAAAAGGAAGAAAATACTCAATCCATCCAGCACATGAAAAAGAAGTCTGATGTAAATCGTGGCCAGAAAAGAATGAAGACAGCCACCCACATACACCAGGTTTTTAGGACCAGCGCCGAGCAATGCCACGCCCAAATGCTTGTCCCCCTTTCCCGTAAACGCCAAAAAAAAACAATTGCCTTGAGGTAACGCATCCCAAAAATCACAATGCAATATGCAATTCAAACGCTTGCCTCTGTACTGCCGTCATCAAGGTCATCAGCGTGCGCTCCACCTACTTCGTCATCGCTGTCGTCTTCCTCTTCTTCGTCTTGATCAGAAGTGCTATCATCTTCGTCATCACCTTCTTCATCTTCCTCGTCATCGTCGTCGTCGTCATCCTCCTCATCTTCATCTTCGTCATCCTCGTCCTTTTCCACAGGCATACCAGGAACCGGTCGCCATTGCACGTAATCATGCTCAACCCATCGTTTACTGCGTGGCAGAACATATGGATCAAATGGAAAGTACGCATCCATCAAAAACGCCTCCTCTCCCTTCTTGCCAGTCAGAGCCGTCTCTCGACCACCTATGCCAGTGAGATAGCTGCTGGCAAGACTACGGGCAAGCCGTACACGCTTGTTCGTCTCCACCAGTGTATCGACATAGGTAAAGCGGAGGTGCTTGGCAATGCGGCCAAACTGCTTGACAATGTCTGGTGCGCATATCCTGAGCGGATTGAGCTTGCAGAAGATGTTGCGGCGAACAATTTCGAGCGTCGACCGATGCCATTCGAAATCGCCCTCGTGATACATGATGTCGGCGTCGGTGGGTAGTGAGCCGTCGGGCGTGACAATGAGGTCGCGCCATCGGAAACAAAAGGCGTAAAGCAGTGCTTGCGCAATGGCATAGTATGTGCCGTATCGCCGTAAGTCAGGTCCTGTACATTTTGGCTCGTGCAGCATACGCAAACGCTCGAGTTGCGAGCACAAAAGGTCAAAGACGTTGCGCACAACAAACCCGGGAACATGGGCGCCGCGGGCAATGTACGAGGCAAGGTAGGCGCATGCTGATGCTCGGAGTAGTGGAGGCCGGTTTGAGTCAATGGCCAGATGTGAACAGGTATCGACGAAGCGCTCCATGAAATCCGTCGACAATTGGCTAAAGTGGAAGAGGATGAATTGGGTGTGCCGCGATCGGTAAGTTGGAATGATGATGGATTGGAACTGTGCAATGAGAGACTGGTAGGTGCGGTCCATCTCCAAAAGGTCGCCCTTCTCGAAGATGGAGTCGTAGTAGGCAAACTGAACGTCCATGACGGTATCAAGCTTGAGCATGGTGTCCTTGATGTCCTTGAGTCGCTGCTCTTCTGGCTCGAGACTTTCGTGACTCGAGACAGAGCCATCGTCACTCATATTGTCGTCATCTTCTTCGTTGTGGATAGCGTCGCCCACAAGCCGCTCCTCCAGATCGTCGTCTATGTCTTCCATGTCCATCTGCATCTGCGCGTCGATTTTGCATAGCTTGTCTGTCACTAGCGTGAGGACCTCGCCTCGGATCTCTGGCGCGTATTCGGCGACTTGGTATATGTTCCGGATGTACTCAGCGTGCTTCTTGGCACTCTCATTGGAAAAGGGAAATGTGCTGGCGATAATGGGGGCCAAGTAGGAGCTGACCATGGGGGTGTATCGAAGTATCAAGATCAGAGTCTCGTGGACGCGTGCCAGCAGGCGAACTCGCTGGATTGGGGGGTCGTCGTGCTGCCTAGCGTTTACTGACGGCAGGTCGAGGAACATGTCGACAAGCATCTGCAGCACAGTTGACACGTAGCCAGACTGTACTGAGAGCAGGGAGCGCAGGAAATTGCGATAGGAGCGCACAAAGTCTTCATTGCGGGCGACCCAACTGCAGTCGATGACGGCATGGACTAGACCTTTACAGTTGTGGTCAAGCTGCGGCGTGTGGCCAGTGAGAGCAACGAGGTACTTTTGGAGGAGTTGCGAGGATGGCGCGTTGGCTGAAGTGGGTGCTTCCCTGAAGAGGGCTCGGAGTCCGTCGTATGCTGCCTTCTCGCCTGTGGCATGCTTCTCCATGGCCCGACGCACCTCCTCCCCCACCAGCTCTGCGCTCTTCTCATTGTACTCGCGCAGTACATGCACATCGACTTCGGGGTGGAAGGTGACTCTGCGCTTTTTTAACTGGCCTGAGGCCGTGGTCTCGGCGTCGGACGAGTGGTCGGATTGTTTGCGTTTGAGGCTGCTGCCACCCGTGCCTGGGGTGACGACGAGCGGCGAGTGGGGATTCGAGGCAAGTGAGACCATGGCGACTACAAAGCGACTGGCACAAGCTTTCACATTGGAGCAGAAGACCGTGTATCCAGCGCGTGTATACTTGGCGTGTGTTGGCAAAAAAAGTACAGCGAGGGGCGGGGGTGGTGGTGATTGCACGCGACTGCGGTTAGGCCCGAGAGAATTTCAGCGGGTCGGTTGATTATATAAGCACAGACTGGGCGCATCTACTATGGTTCACTGAGCCACTAATACATAATGATCGTGTCGTCTCATCAATGCAGACAATTACATTTCACCGCACTGAGCAATGACAATGTCCTGCACAGGCTTCCCCTCTGGGTTTGCGAGGGTCCGCGTATTCTCAATCTTGGTCACTACATCCATGCCCTCTACCACATTGCCGAATACTACGTGCTTTCCATTCAGATGAGGAGTACCGTTCTTAGCGGTGATGATGAAGAACTGGCAGCCATTGGTATTGGGCCCGCTGTTCTGTGCATTGTTAGAGCTACGTAGTTTGAAATGATGCACACACACAACTTACTGCCATTGACAGCAGACCGGGCTTGTCGTGCTGCAGAGTGAAGTTCTCATCGGCAAATTTCTCTGTGCCGTAAATGGTCCTTGAGCCTGTACCGTTGCCATTGATGAAGTCTCCGCCTTGGATCATGAAGCCTTTGATCTAATGCTGTTAGTAATGCGGCAAGCAAGCACGGATGCAAACGGGTATGCAAGCGCGCAAAGCGAAACATACGACACGATGAAATTTGCAGCCCTTGTAGCCCTGGGGCTGTCCGCGATTGTTCTTGGTTTCGCCCGTGCAGAACTGTCGAAAATTCTCGGCAGTCTTAGGAACGATATTCTTGAACAGCTCCATCTTGATTCTGCCCAGCTTCTCGCCTGGATGCTTATGTCAGTCATTTTGCTGCGGGTGTAGGGGTGCATGCAGCTGGACAAGGGCGACGCGGGCAAACTGGTGGAGGCATACCTCCTAGGGTAATGTCGAAGAAGACGACTGGATTGGGCTCGGTAGTGTCTGCCATGGTTGTGGCGGTGCAATTGGCGGGAGCAGAGAAGAGAGTTGGGTGTGCAAATGTAGGTATGGTGCAGTGCAGTACCGACGCAGCTAGCGCTGGATAAGCTCGTGCAGGGCCTGGTGGATGCGATTGTCGCCGCCTCTAGCGCTGGGGAAGACTCCACCCGCAACAGCAGCTCCGGCAGGGATGTCGGCCTGGATACGCAGTCACCAGACGGGCGTGCAAAGGCGCCGGTTGACAGATGAGCGTGCGCCTACATGGCATGTCCGTGTTATTAAGGAGAGGATGTGCCTGGGGTGCATGTCGGTGTCAGCCATGTGCTGGATGGGAAATGGCACCTGCATGCGACATTAACGCAGGGTTTGGGGGCGCAGTGCCTGGAGTGCGATACCGCGATATGGCGCATGTGCATTGACGAACCACGGCAATACGCACGGCATGACAGACGTGGATTGCCGGCGCGCTGGCTGTCGTTGCATCCAAGGGAGTGTTTTGCATGGAGGAGGACAAGACACAAACGCCCTTTGTCTTTGGGCAGACGATTCGGGCAGGCGTGAGGGTTACGAGTACAGTGCCGGGAGTGGTTGTGCCCGGCTGCCTTGGCACCTGCCCTCTGCATTAGCGACGTCTTTTGCGGCCTTTATCCGCCTGCCATAAGCCTCGCCCGTCCCAAGTGCCACGCCCGACCCGACGATCCCATTCACTGTCCATTCCATTCTCTTCAGCCCCAGCCTCTACGCCTCGCCAAACACCACCTACCTCCCGCGCCCTCTGCATCGCATGGCCGACTCACCTCTGCTCCCCATTCACCGCTAGCCATCGTGGCATCCCGCAGTCACTGTCACAGCTTCAGTTGCGCCGCCTCGCTGTAGCCAACTCTGTCGCCACTTCTCGCCCTTGCTGCTGCCGTCGTCACCACCGCCCACTCTCTCCACCTTTCTCTCCCCGCAACATCGCATTTCCCGCCCCACTGCATCGCCTGGAGAAAAACGCGACTCTGTCCTGTCCCAACGCTCGCATCCACTGAAGTGCCTTCCCAATCTGGCTGACCACCTCAACTCGCTGTCTGCACGGCCATATCCACGCCCACTCATGAGACACTAAATCTCTTCGCATCTCACAATGTCAACCACTACCGTCTTCCCCAGCCAGCCCAGCTCGACCAGGCCGCCCAACAATGATGACAACGGAAACAACGGCGGAGGTGGTCCCACCAGTTCGCCGCTGCTTTTCTTTGTCGCCCTTGGTTTCGGTGTCGTCTTTACAAACCTATGGTAGGCCCCGCCCACTGACAGCGTTCGCCTCCACTTATCTGACATGTCCACTAGGATCATTGTAGGCGTCAAGTACTGTTTCCGCTACAACCGTCGACGCGCAGCCCAAACTGCCGCCAGTACAGAGATTGATATGGCTAATATGCCTCGCCCCCACCGAAGGAGGAGGGAAAAGAAACTAATGACCATGGACGAAGTTAATGAGCGCTTCCCACTGACCAAGTACAAGCAATGGAAATCGAGCCGTGAAACTGAGGGGCTGCCATCCAACGGTGGTATTTCAACAGCACCCCAGAGCAGGGCCGCGAGCATCAAGGATGTCGAAGTTGCCGCCACTTCCCAAGACGAGGGACCAGGGCCTCGAACAGAGACTGCGCTTTCCATGGCCCGCAACGACCATGCTGCGCAAAACTCGACTTCGCAGCAAACGGCGTCTCCAAGATCAAGCGTCGAAAGCACAAAAGGCGAGAAGATGCATGACTCTGAGAAGCAGATTGAAAAGGACAGTCCAGTCCCAGTAAAACCAAAGGAGAGCCCAGAGCATGGTGCTGCACCGCAAGCGACTGTGCACGAGCGTGACGATGACTCGGATGACGATGACGATGACCCAATCCGCACTGCGACTGCACCAGAGTTGCTCTCTGACCCTGGCGACACTTGCGCCATCTGTATAGATCTCCTAGAGGACGACGAAGATGTGAGAGGGCTAGCTTGCGGCCACGCCTTCCACGCTAGCTGTGTTGACCCATGGCTGACAAGTCGTCGCGCGTGCTGCCCGCTCTGCAAGGCTGACTACTACGTGCCTAAACCTCGCCCGGAAGGTGAAGCTGATCCGGCTACTGGCCGTCGTTCAGCTGCTGGTCCCAGATCACCACAACAGGCCGTTTGGACATCAGCCAACCCTTTCTCCCGTACTCAAATACTGATTATCAATGCCGATCCCAACCAACAACCTAGTCCCCAGCGATTAGGACGACTTGGACTGTCGAGCCGGCGTAGCTACCCGGTTTCAGCGGAATCGCAGCAGGGGACTGCTCAACCAAGACAGGGTTCCAGCTGGTTCTCACGAACGACGCCCAGTCAACCACGTGCTCCCATGTTCTCCCGCTGGTTCAACCGTGACAGGAGCGCTTCCAACAATGTAAATACTTCCACAGCCACCCAGCAGCCTACCCCAGGTCAGCTTGAAGCCGGCACTCGGTAGTTGTCATTGACACGTCTTGCAACACGTGATTTGTTTTCGGACCTCGATTTTTCACGTCTCTTAACGAATACGCCCATACCCCCCTCTGGATCTTTTTGTGCGCCATCGTTCACCCTTGCACCATGTAGGAGTCTTGAATTTCCTCGACCCTAACGTCCCTCACCCTCTGCTCCTCCAATGCAGGCATGTTCATTCCTCTTATTCAAGTCACCGAGCACATGAGAGCATGTTCCCTGGACTCTTTATTTAGTTTACTGCATAGTAGGTTTCTAAGGATATATTGGGAACACAGCATCTCGGCGGCTTCTGTTTGTTTGTTTTTCTCGTTTTCCGCGTCTTGGCTTTGGGAGCGTGGGAGCAAGCAGATGGGGATGGGACGAGAGGGAGCAGGCTTGCGGCTGTAATGTCATTGTACATGAGCCATTGGATCGATGTAGTATATATACATACACACATACAAACACCCACACCCACACATATAAGGAGGGGAGCTGCCAGCGAACAAAGTGGAGGACTAGTGTTTTTTATTCGGATCTTACATCCCCTGTCTAGTGTACCGTAGTAGCCTCAAAGGCACATGATCAATTTCCAAGCGTTCTGAGCCAATTCAAATCATGTACATGTTAATGCATTACTTGTGTGTTTGTACGTGTGTTTTCCATATATGCCCATTGGTATCATAGAGTGCGAATCTGAGCAAGGGGAAAAGGAGGAGAAGCAACCCCTTTGCAACCACCAAAAGCCCAGAGACCTAAGAGACACACCGGGTCTTCCACACGGCTCCTTGGTTCTCCAAACGCCCACTAGTCAATAGTCAATAGTCAATAGTTCATCGCTTCAAGAACCAAGCACGCCATTATATCCCCCGAAGCCTCACTGTGTTGTTCCTCGTCTCTTCATCCTCCTCCTCCTCAGGGTCTCCTACGTCCTGCAACCGCATGGCCCGCAGCAGATCCCTACCCGCCCTTGTACCATCCCTCAGTTCCATGGCGCTCTTGAGCAGCATGTCCTGCATTGCCCGCGCATCCACATCCACGCCCAGCAACGCTTCAACGTCTGGGCCCCTTGGAATCGGGAAGTCGACAAGCGGCTTGCCATTCGGTCCTACGCTGACCGTAGTGCTCTTGCGGTAATTGCTCTGTTGCTGTTGCTGATTGTCGTGGTCAAACTCTGACGAGGAATTGTAAGGGTTGTACGTGTCGTCCGTGTCCGAGTCAAGCGCATATGTAGTCGATGTCAACGATGTCGACGTCGAGTCGTTTCTGCGAGCTGGTCGGAGCCCAACACTACCATAGCTCCGCTGCTGCGGTGGCGCGAGGTTCAGTCGCTCAAAAGCATCCCAGAGCTCGTCGACATCTTCTTCTTCCAGTGAAGTGTCTGTTGTCACACTCATAGGGGGAGATTGATCATCGCTGCTCACGCCATATGCCATATTATGCGACCAACCGTCCCAGATGACTTGCTGTGAGCGTTGGTTACTTCGGTGATATTGCCCCCCTCCAAAATTGTTGGCTCCTGGCTTAGACGGCGCATGCACCTGGCTTGCTGAGCTTACACCCCGTAGGTGCAAAGCTGTGTGATGCAGGTCTTGGTTCGTTGGCTGGCCTTGTTCATCATATTGCTGAGGTGTCAACAGGCCTGGCACTGCGTGGTTAGGCTCAGATTGCGATTTCGTATGGAACGATGCGCGGTGGTTGTTTTGAGAGAGCTGAACCTGGTCTTCAAGGTTGAAGGGGTTGTCGTTGATACGCTCTGCTCCTGCCGTATTTGTCTCAGAACCCGACGTAGACGGACGGTAGTCTTGAACCATAGCCATGTCCAGATCGATCATGGATGAACGAAGTGGTGATCCAGGCGCAGAGCTGATCATTTCAGGATAGTCGTCTATAGGTGCAAGCGCAGTGGTTTGTACGTGTCGCAGGCTAGGACGGAAGTTGGAGTTGAAAGTCGGTGATGAAGGATCCGCTTTGTTGGATCTGCCGTACTGTGGCTCTTGTGGACTGCCCAGATCAAATGTCCATTCTTCAGTTTTTCGTTTATCGTCCATCTTAGGGAATGTCCAGTCCTGAGTTTTACGATTGTCGTCCATCTTAGGAAATGTCCATTCCTTTGTCTCCCGTCGACGGGATATGCGGTTTGACGCACGGTTCCTAGGAGCCTCATTATTGGCTTCAGCCATTGCTGCATCGAATGTCCATTCCACTGTACGTCGATTTGGCTTTTGGGGCTGAGCTGGAAACGACCATTCCATCGTCTTACGGTTGGGTTGCTCGGCGGGAAAGGACCATTCCATTGTCTTTCGGTTCGGATCCTCATTCATGCTTGGGAATGTCCAGTCCTTTGTTGCTCGTTTAGTCAGTTCGTCTTCTTCGTTGAAAGCATCTCGAAGTTCTTCTTCTTCCAACTCCCGCAGAAGGCTCTTCATACGATTTGCTCGAATGGTTGGCACTTCTCCCAGATCAATACTCGGCACCTCATCTGTTGATGGAAGTGAATAATCCAAGTCAATAACAGTCTCACGGTTGGGTGCCCCGGGATTAAAATCGCGCAAAATCAGATCTGAAGGTGGCCTGCCGTTAGGAGGGTCTGGTGCATCAACTGCACTGTACCGGTATGGTGTCGTGTTTGGGTCGAAAATCTTATTCAAGCGTCTCTGGCCCCTCACAATAGACTCCTCCTTGAACCTCGCCTGCAATTGTTCAAAACGGCCCAGGGGCTGTCCGGATCCGGTGGCAAATGGGTCTGTGAAATGCGTGGCATGCTCTTGTTCAAACTCTTCGGAAGTACTGAAAGACCAGTCATCGTCATCATCATCCTCAGCCTCCGGGGCCAAGGGATCAGGTGCCTGCGCGCCATATGGATTGAATAACGACTGGCGAGTTCCACCCTGTTGCTCCCAGATGTAATACTCTTCAACCAACTTGATAAGTGACACAGTCGGATACATCTTGGTGGTATCAGCAAGGTAAGGGTGCTCCAGAATTTGGTCTGGTGTAGGACGATCTCGCGGCTCGGGCTTGAAGACGAAAGCAAGGAAATCCTTCAGCTCTTGAGAGAAACGGTCTCCTTCAAGCTGAGGGACTCCAGCCGTTGGCAGATCAAAGTGTCCGATCTTATGATGTGGTGGGAAGCCGCAAGCCATCTCGTACACAGTACAGCCATATGCCCAAATGTCAACTTCGCTACCGTAAGAAATCTCCCTTGGTTGGAGCAAACTGTGTGGGTCGGCATCCTTGACCCACTCTCTTTGAAGTTCAGGGGCCATCCAGAAAGGTGTGCCGACAATGGTCGACCGCTTTGATCTTTCGGGCTCTAACGTGTTGGAGACACCGAAATCACATAGTTGTACTCGGCCATCCTCGAGAATGAGAACATTGTTAGCTACGATTTGGTCAGCGCATGCCGTAGACAGCCAAGATGTTATACTCACACTTTAGATCTCGATGCAGCACACCCGCTTCGTGTATATACTTGAGGCCTTGTGCTAGTTCGCGGGCGATGGGTATGATGAATTTCTCAGCCAGTCCAGGGCCTGGATCCTTGCTCATGGCAGTGGGCTTCATCAAGGTATTCACACTACCACCACTGGCGTATTCGCTTATGATCCACAACTCGTTGTGAACAGGCCTTGCTTCCTCGATGATGTTGACGTAGGGTCTTGCTTTACTATCTCTCAGCTGCTGCAGAATGTCAATCTCTTTCAGAGTGTCTTGAAGATTCTTGTGTGTCATCTCCTCGTAGTCGACCTTGTCAATTTCGATAATCTTGATAGCAACCAGGGCACCAGTGTTGCGGCTCTTTCTTGGCAATGTTAGCGCACGTTCCTGGTGTTGCATTGAGATACCCACCCTTTGTACACACGACCATATGCACCCTTGCCGATGAGCTCGTAGAAGTCATATGGCGGAGGTTCTTCGCCACTCCGTTTAGCCCTCTCGGCAACCAGTGCCTCCATGTCCCTGGCTTGTTGCATGGCGCGTCCCTTGGTGCCACCCATGTTGGGCGGTTGCAGTCTTACAGGTTCCATTCCTTCTGAATATATGTATGATTGGTCTTGTTCCACAATTCCAGTTGCGCAGCTTTCGTAAGGCTCGAAAGGCGATTCCGCTATGCGCTCCAATGGACTTTCTACCAATGTGCTCGTTGTACTCTCAAAGCTGGTGGTAATGGGCAGCGGTGGAGGCGGATAGCCGGTCGACGGCACACGTCTACAAGGGGAATTATAACTAGTGGGGTCTGAGGCAGAATGCGAGTGCTTTGATGAGGGAGTGAGGTAAGAGGGTCTGGAAGTACCCGGATTCGACTGCGCGGCAGGTCTATTTGGTATCGGGGTGTATGGTTTCGGGGTGGGCGGACACAACGGACTTCTGACATCCAATATGGGGCCCGATATCTCGCGTCTGTCAATCGAAGATGTGCGAGAAGAGCGCGAGGAGCGTGAGGAGCGGAAGGATGAGTCCCTTCGGCCTTTGATTGAGTCGGTTAGCTTTTGCCATGAGAAGGGGCGATCTGATCGAGTCTTTGGGGTTGGTGTCTGCTTTCCCAGCGATCGGGGCGGCGTGACCTCGCCCACCGGAATGAGGTGGTCCCCATCACTGACGGACCGCTTGAGCTTGACGACGGCTTCGCGGTCCAGCATGGTTGCGTGGGTTGAGACTGGCGCGTTGGTGGCAGCATAAGAGAAATCACACTCACGAGTTTGTTATGATGCTTGAAGGTCACTACCAGAAGTGAATGCCGTTCATGGCAGGCAGGCCGCGTGCGGTGAGGGTGAGTGTTCGTTTAGGATTCACACCTCCGCACTGCGGGGGTAGGTGGGCTTAATAACAAGATACGATTACAACAAGAGGAAGTAGAGGGAACGAATATAGACACGCGAAAGTTGCGAAACGAACAAGTGCTTTTGTGCAGAAGGATGCGATGGCGACGCCATCTGTCAGGTGTGCGACCCCGAGTGTTGAACATTCGAAACAAGGATCCAGGGTCTCGACTACTGCTGATCACGCTAAAGCAACCTTAAATCCATTCGGGACAAGCGCACCCCCACCTCCCCGGCCCTGACATCATCTGCGCCACATGTGCGCCGCCATCTAGAGCTGATCTGCCAACTTTCCATGGTCTTATGGATAGGCACGACATGCTCTCCAACTACCTCCTATTCTATCGACTATTCCATCTAGCACCCGACTGATTCCAAGAGACTTCATCGCATCAAGACGACTACAAAGAAACTACCAACCGATCCCAATATGGTCTCTCAACCCATTGGAACAAAGAAGACGCCCGTTACGTCCACGGCGAAGAAGACACCTGTGAAGAACTCGACAAAGAAGGCGCCCGTCAAGGCCCCGGCTGTTCAGCCACCCAAGAAGCCCATCAACACAGCCCTACAGAAGAAGCCAGTAACCACAACCCAAAAGAAGCCAGTACCCACCACAGCACTCAAAAAGACCACAACAGCAGTCGGACAAAAGAAGCCTCTCCCAGCCGCAACAAAGAAACCGATCCCACAGCCCCAGCAGCAAGGCTGGCTCAGCAAAGGCCTCAGCGCCGCACAATCCGGAATCGGCAGTGCAGTCGGCGCAGCCACCACTGGTATCAGCAATGCAGCCGGCGCCGTTGTAACAGCTGCAGGCAGTGGCGTCGCCGGAGCAGGCAGGGGAGCAGGTGCAAGGTAAAAAAAATCTTACTATAGTTTTACGATACCAAGTACTCTGGGCTAATTACATTGTAGCATCACAAATACATCTCGTACCTGGGGCGATATGGTCCGCGAGTACGGTAACTCGCTAAAGGATATGACCGGTGCCACGGGCAGTCGCTCAACTACACACAAGAATCCTCTTGGCTTGAGCACAAGTGCCGCGGGGGGTATGGCGTCCATGGCGAGTAGGCCTGGTGTCCCTGGTCTTTCTGGAGGCTCGGCTAGGACTGGTACGGCTAGTAACCCATTGGGCTTGTAGGGCTAGAGGAGAGTGCTTTTGTTTGAATCCAGAGATTTTCCGCTGTTGGGAAGTGGGTTAGTACGGTTTGGATATGTTAGTTTTTTCTTGTTTGTTGTGTAGTTTACTGTTCGGTTGTATTTTTAGAAAGGTAATTACATAAAACGGTTCGTTTCAAATAAAAGCAAGGGTCATGTGTCATAACAAGTTGTAGATGGAGTGAACACTTGGTGGCTCGATCTTACTCGGGATACAATGTAGGATGTATTGTTCATCACACAGAAGAGGGCGGTGCGCCTAAATTTCAAAAAAAAACAATCAACACAGTTAACCTCCATCATCTTGACGATGGCTATTGAGAATTCTTAAACGATAGACTTATATTTAATTGACATCAACAAAACAGGCAGTAACCCGCACATGCGCAAATAACTCTAGCAGTATTTTGATTCATAATAGCAGCTAGCCAATCACCAAAAGGTGTCACTCGATCGTGCAATCAACCTTGCAAACAAACACGACTTTCCCCCTCGTCCCTCCCAACGTCGTGAACGTAAACTCTAAAAACAAAAAAAAGTGTGGAATATACATAGCCTTGTGTACTTTCTCTCAATGGCATTCAAGACATTAATAAACAAGGAATGGGAATGGAAACATGAAAACTGTGAGGAAGAACCCAAAGAAAAAGAAAGAATCTCGCTCCATTGGAGTGCTGCAAGGGAAGACACCGACCGGTCGGACAGAAACAGACATTCCTGCAAGAAAACAAGAGAAGAGAAACACACCACCGAATGACAAGAATAACAACAAGACACGGCATGCAACGACGTCTCCACCTCCATCAATTCGTGCCTTGACATTTTTGCCCCTTTTGGCCAGCCTCGCTAGTTGATGCTTGAACAGAGAAAGAAGAAGGAGAGAAAGAGAAAAAAACATACACATATACGCAAGTGCATGGTGAAGGAGATGACGCCGCCCAATGAGACTTTGGTACAAAGACTGAAGAAGATGTTACTAACACAGATGATTCAGAACAATTGGTGAAATACACTTCGTATTTTCTTCACCGCCCAAATAGACCACTGCCAACGCTGATTGTACCAAGGCCATTACGCTGGGTCATTGGCGCTCGTGCTGCGTCTGGTCGAGCTGGACCGGCCTGACCGGGCGCAGCACCGGGCGCTGAGTTCATTGGCCGGATGCCATTACCACCCCAGCGTTGACCAGTGTGCTCGTGGGGTAGATCTATGTGCTGTGCCACGGGGCTTGACATCATACTATATGTCTCTCGGCTCAAGACGCCCATGTTGCCACGGGGATCAGAGCCAGGCACGTCACCGTATGCTGAGTGGCCGGAGGGTGCGCGCTTCATATGCAGAACCGGTGATTCAGCATCGCCTAGGAGACCATTGGTGTGGTGGGCGTTGGACGAAGGAGGATTGGAATTTGCTTCGATTGTGGAAGCAGAGCCGTTTGGAGCACTCAGATCAACCATGCGACGTTGGCCAGCTGGAGTCTGATAGTTGGGTACGCGAGACGGTCCAAGAGGGTAGCGGCTCTCTTGTTGATGTGAGGGATGCCGTGGGTTGGCCCATGGTGTACTTTCCAAGAATTGTTCTTCCGCGGCTGCTTCGTCTGCTGTTGTAGTTCTGTTGTAGGTACGAAATGATGGGGGCGGAGCCGGAGCACGAGTCGCAATCTGCAGCGTCGAATCAGCTGCAAGTTCTCCACCAGTTGCATTCAGCCACTCACCTTCATTGCTCGAAGATCTTCATCGATTTCTGACGGTTTTGCAGCACTAATATCTGGAGCGGCTGGGAAGCCAACGTACTTGGCAACGCCTGACAGTACTGAGACCTCGAGATTGTACGCTGTCTGGTGTCTTATTTGGTCTGACCGCTTCTCGGGCAGTCGCACCATGTATTCAGTCTCGTCACAGCCGAGCTGTCGTCTGCCGCGCTGCAATTCAAACACTCGCTGGTTGCACTCTTCGAGTATTTCTTCTCGTATATGCCGCACAGTCTGGAAGTACTGACTGTGCATCTGGTGCCGTTCTGCTGCTGTTATTATCTCGAGGTTCTTCTGCTTGTATTCCAACAACCTTGTCTCGTAGGCGATCTTATCTGCGCGCCGGTCGTCTATGCATTTGATCATTGCGACGTACTCAGGGTGCACACAGTTGGGTTGCTTGAGCATCTCGAGCTCCCGCTCGAGTTGTGCTATTTGTTCGTCACAAAGTCTAATTGCAGTCAGTACCAATTTCATCTGTCCAAGAGCCCAGAAGATCACTCACTTCTCTCTGAAGAGCTTGAACTTCTTTTCAATCTTTGCGAGTTCATCAATGGCAATCTTCTTCTTAATGACTTCCTCATCTAGGACTCCGCTGTCTTCTTCTTCAGGGTCGCATTCAGCCTCGCCGTCTTGTGGCTCAGCAGCCACAAAAGGTTCAGTGTAGGCATAACTAGCGTCCTCTGTCTTTCGTTTGCCTCTTCTGCCACCTTTCCGCGGTTTTGTGTGCTTTGCTACGGTTGCCATTTGGTTGACGGTTTGTGCAGCGATGTTAGCTCGACGTTCTTCAAGTTCCATTTCCTCACGCGCAAGCACAGAAAGACTCTCTTCAGCGTTGTCGAGCTCCTCATCTGCGTCCACACGGCCTTGTCTATTGGCTGCGGCGTCCGCTAGGCCATCAAGCGCCGAGCTTCTTGCAGGCTCACTCCTCTTTCGCAATGGTTCTTCCTCGTCTTGCTCGCCAACAGGGCTCCTTTCGGCGCTTGTTCTTTTTCGTTTCTTGCTCGTGTGTTCTAGGCTAGCAGCCTCTGTGGTCGCAATAAGCGACAGAGAGTGTAGGGGGTTCTCTGCTGTAGCTGCTGCATCAATGGGTGCCTCATCTGCACCAGCAGAGGGTGTGGGAGGAGTAGACTCGTCGTCTTCTATGTTTTTAGAGTGCGCGAGTTTGCTGGGGGTTCGTGTGTAAGCCGGCTCGGATAGCAAAGATGTCTCAGGGACTGTTCGGGTCAGTTTTCGTGGAGTAGTGTCTAGGCGCTCTGTCTCGGCCTCCGAATCGTCTTCGTCCATTTCTGCTGCTGGTGTCTGCCTCGGGGTGGGTTCAGATTGGTCGTCTGAGGCGTCTCCAAGCTCACTCAAGCTGCTGGAGCCGTTATCTGCGGCGTCATCGAAGCCGTTCGAAGCTTGCTCGACAGGCATTGCCTCTGCAATGGCTGCGCTTGAAGCTTTCATCGTTGACAGCATCGCGGCCGCGATGGCGGTAGGCTCTCCGGTGGCTGTTGACTCGTGTGAGGGGGAGGCAGTAGAGGAGGGGTTAGATGATCCCGTTAGGAGCGGTGACAGGGCGTCTGCGGGGGGGTGAGTTAGATCGAGTGCGTTTCGTGCGGTGGTGATATGAGGCGTGGTGGGAGAGGGAAGTTCGCGACTGTGTCGTCGCCTCGGTTGACGCAAAGATCGACAATCTCTCGAGCGACCCAAGGACACGACAGACTGCGCAGAGCCGGCGAGATGGACCCGGTGGGTTATCGGGTTCAAAATAAAAGGTTGTATGACGTACTCTGTGGCTGCGCGACTGACTTGCTAAGATCGGGAGCTGTTCTTGATGTGCTCCGCCTGGTGTGATGGGTCGCGCTCATAGTGCGCCTGCGCCAGATGCCTCGTCAACTCGTGCCCAGTACAGTGCGAGGATGTTGGGTAGGACGCAGTTGGTGCCCGCGATGCAGGAACGGCGCTATGGGGGGCAGCGGGCGGTGGGCGTGGGGAGCAGCCAAAAACACTGCTGCCGCTGTGGAGGACGTGGGCGCCGAGGGCGAGGGTACGTGCCGAGATGTTTTTGGCGTCGGACCGGACAAGGGCGCGGTAGTGTGGGTGAGGACGTGTGTGCAAACGCGAGACAGCGACTGGCATGAGTGTATTGGCGGTGAATGCAGCAGGGCAGCTCTGTCGAGAGGGTGTAAACTGCGCTTTGAGGCGGGTCGATGGCCGGGAGAGGCCCTGAGTGTCTTGCGAATGACCGCACTCTCTTAGGGCGGGCGGTAAGGTTCTGCCGCTTGTTCGCCCGTTTGAGGCTAGTGTGCGCTCGAGGTGAAGCGTCTCCACCAAAACTTTTTGACGAGCTTGCTGCACGGCAACGTCGCAATCGCCGCCATGGGAAAATCAAAGGAGAAGCGCGCTGCAAAGCCCGAGTCGCCTAATAAAAGCGCAAAGTCTTCCAATTCCTTCATCAAAGTCGACAAGGCCGCGTTTGATCCCGCCCTAGCCTCGTTGTTTGCAAGCAGTGTACGTTTACTATTACAAATGTCTACCCAAGTGCGTGATTGCTGATCGAAATCTTCAGGCGGGACCAGTTCAGCCACCTCCAAAGTCTCGGTACCAGGCGCGCATACAGAAGCAAACGACCGAAGAGTCGAGCGAAGAGGAAGATGAGGGCGATGCCAACGATGCCGAACTAAGTTTGGCATCTGGCAGTTTACCCTCGGATGATGAGGATGAGGACATGTCGGATGCCAGTGGCAACGAAGAGCCTGAGAGTGAGATCATTCTAGCAAAAGTGCGCGAGTCGGGGTTGGACGGGACACAGGATAAGCAGAAGAAGCGAAAACGGGGAAACAAGGAGGAGATTGAAGATGCGTACATGCGGAAGCTGGCGCAGGAAGAAGAGAAGGAAGAGCAGCAGAGGCAGAAAAAGCGCAAGACCAAAGAAGTTGTTAACGATGATGAGGATGAGGATGCAGACAAGGACGACAAGTCCTCTGACGACGCCGAAGATAACGATATTGAAGATGGCGACACCAAAGGGGAATCTGGTGAGGCCGAAAAGACCTTTACCATTCCCAAGCACGAGTCACTCATGGAGGCAACCGACGGCAGCGCAGCAGAAGTGGAAAAGGCGGCCCGCACTGTCTTCCTTTCCAACGTGTCCACCGAGTGCATCAACTCCAAGTCGGCAGAAAAGACCCTAAAGAAGCATCTCGAGTCCTTCATTGCTGATCTTGCAGACAATAACCCCCCACACAAGATTGAATCAATACGTTTCCGCTCTACAGCTTTTGGCAGTTCGCTCCCTAAGCGCGCTGCTTTCGCAAAGAAGGACATTATGGACGCAACAACAAAAAGCACAAATGCTTACGCAGTCTATACGACAAAGGTGGCCGCAAGAGAAGCCGTCAAGCGACTCAATGGCTCTGTCCTACTCAATCGCCATTTGCACGTCGATTCGGTCGCTCACCCAGCAAAGGTCGACCATCGCCGCTGCGTTTTCGTGGGTAATCTTCCTTTTGTAGACGACGAATCACAGATGCCTGTGGCCGAAGGCGAGAAGCCCAAAAAGAATAAGCCTTCATCTGATGTCGAAGAGGGTCTATGGGTCCATCTCTCCAAATGCGGCACCATTGAAAGCGTGCGCGTAGTTCGCGATGCAAAGACCAGAGTAGGCAAGGGCTTCGCCTATGTGCAGTTCACAGACGAGAATGGCGTCGAGGCCGCCCTGCAACTCAACGAGAAGAACTTCCCCCCAATGCTTCCCCGTAAGCTCCGCATCACGCGTTGCAAGGCTGAGAAGAAGAAGGACAAGCCACGTGGACCTCCGCCCTCGTCGCAAAAATCGCCCAAAGCCAACGGCAAAGCGGGCTATACACCCAAGTTGAGCGAAGAGCAGAAATCGCTGCAGGGTCGCGCGCGCTCGATGTTGGGCAAAGTCGCAAAGGCGCAGACAAAGGAGGGTTTTGTATTTGAGGGTCACAGAGCGAGTGAGAGACAGGGCAAGAGTGGCCTCAAGTTCAAGGGTAGCGGCGGAGGCAAGAAAAAGGGTCCCAACGGACGTAAAAGTAGAAGTGCGGGGTGGAAGAAATCCGGTGGGAAGAAGTAAGACGGGTTTCCTCCCAAAGCATCTTCAGCATCGTCCCCTTTTTTGCTTTTTTTCATAATCTTCTTTGCGCAAACCGATTGCTGCGCAGCTTGTAGTCTTAGAAAGCATTCTTGCTACGCACAATGTGCTTACATATATGCATAGACTTGTACAAGCCACATCACGTCTGTTCAAGTGGACTATGCAGGTCTGTAGTACAACTATGGGTGCTGAACTGTGCTTTTTTTTTTGCACCAACATGTATGAACAATGGAGATTGACCTTCCATTTCCACAAGTTCAAGTTCATCATGCTCTGCCGGTGACGTGATTATGCTGCAATTGCCGATTGCAGGAAGAGAAGGAGAACGTGGAGCCGGTGAGTTGACACCTAAAATGAAACGTGACCCTGTCATTATATGATCGGAGACGCCGACCTGCCCATGGGATGCATAGAGTGTAACAGATGGCGTATAGCCATGCTGGTAATATCGTGTGTAATTGATGAGAATTAGTTTTGCTAACTGTCAAGTGTGATCTCCGTGGTAAGGATGATGAGTGCCTAGCGCATGGCCATGCTACAAAAAAGTAAGATTTAGGTTTGCATGCTTATTGGTGGGTAACAAGACACCAGCGATAGTTGAATAGGATGACGTTGCATGACCCCGGTCTGTTGGCCTGACGGTGCGAGCCGAAGGTTTGGTGGCCGAGTTGACGGGCTGTCGTTGCTGCCACGGTGCGAGACTGGCTGTTTCTGATAGTGTGGAATGCATTTGGGCTACGAGCTTGAACGTCTGGGGGATCGACGAAGCAAAACTTTAATTGCACATCAATCACCACAAGAGCGGCAAACAAGGCGTAGGATCAATGCCGAAACAAGCGTGTGAGAGTGTGCAACAGTCGAGATTCATCCCTGGAACCCTTCATACGACTAGCCGTCGTAGTGAGTAGATGGGTTTATTCGGAAGTTTGGCTGGCGACAAGGCCCGATCCGAGGACACAGGCGTTTCGACCGCAACGGGTTTTCGGGTAAGCCGAACTAGGCACACTTGGAGCTGTAGGTCTGACAGGGTCCATTGAGGGTAAAGATCCTGCAGTCGGTTGCCCAAGTCATATATTTCCAAAACTTGGATGAATCTGGGAAAAGGTAACACAAAGGCGGCGAAGACCGAGTGTAGCATGTGGCACCGAGCTAGGCATTGCCGAGTTTTCCTACAATCATGTGTTTTGTACCGGGCGGTTCTCGCGTGCCGGCACAGCAGCTTGTGGTAACCTTGAACGGACGCGTGGGTAGGTGTGGGTGGAGGGGTTATGCAAGTCAGCGGAAGATGTAACCCCAACAGAACAATGCGATGATCAATAGCCATTGATACGCTGCATGCCGTAGGTAAGCAAGGCTGACAGATATCTAACCGAAATGGACCGATGGCATTGGGGTCCATGGATTCGCATGTTGCACAGACACAGATGTTGCGACGCCTGGAAACAGAGGCATGTGTTTGACCATGTGGAACTTGCGGAGATGATGTGCAGGATGCAGATGGGGATTGCGGCATGGTATTCGTCCGTCTCCCATGATGTACCCACGCCAATGGTAGTAAATAAGTAGGTGTGGTTTGGGCAATGGTGAGGCTTGTGCTTGTGGGTGTTGCCAGGGATCATGGCACGTTGCTGCCCTTACAGCGAGTGTGTAGTGGTTGCATGCTGCTATAGAGTTGTTATGGCTTTGATGTTTAGCCGACGGAGGAAGCACGTGTTTTGGTGAAAGCGCCGAATTGTCAAAAGAAAAGAGTGACCTCACAATGCGGCAGGACCGTGGCGGCGGTCCCGAGACGGAAGCTTTGAACGACGCCGCCAAAGTATGACACAGAAGATGTCAGTGGCTGATGAAAGTGCTGTCGGCCTTGAAACGCGCTTCTAGGCCGACGGGCGAGCAGAGAAAGCCAGGGACTGATACGTGAGAAGGGCACGTCCGTTACTGGGAGGGCTGAGGCGTTTGGGTGGCGCAAGTGGAGGGTGCGCGGCAGGATGGGAAGCGTTTGCGCGCAAGCGTATTGGACAGAGGGGGCCAAAGAATGCTTGCATTTGCGCCCGATTGTGCAGGTAGGAGGGGATAATGTGACCTGGATGCACGTGCACTAGTGTTGGGACCCAAGCAATGTACTACATACATATGTATTACAAGTGTGTGTACATTCATGTATGTACACATGTACGCAGTACGTATGTATGTATGTAGTGTTGGAGTGAAGGCCAGCAGGCACAGTTGACTAGCAGCATCGCATAACACTGCTCTCTGCTACTGTGGACACGGCGGAGCAGCGCTAGGCCAGGTCGCAGCAAAGGCAGCGCTGAGACACGGAGATGCGGACGAGACACGAGCTGAGCCAATGGAAGCCGGCACACGCTTCTACGTACTTGGGCGACGCGCGCAAAAGACACGACAGGCGCGAGGCGGCGCGTCGGTAGGCGGGGAGATAGGTAAAAAGGCACTGCGGCGGAGGAACGGGCTGTACGGGCTACACGGGAAGAGGGTACCTGCACAAATCACGGCCGGGTGAGCTGCCGCTCTCGGAGGCATACGCGTCTGAGGGTGAAGGACGGCGGGTGTGGAGCATGAGCGTCTGTCCAAAGTTTGGTATCACGACACATTGGCGGCAGATTTGTCACGAGGGTGATGCTGTTGAATGTCTCCATACTGGAGAAGCGCCTTGGGCTGCGCGGGCGAGACAGGCGGGAGTGCATATGTGGCGCGCTAGGCCGCATTAGGGCATCCAAGGCTCGCCGGCTCTGGCTGTCTGGGGGGCGGAACCAATTTTCACGCCGCGGGCCAATGGAAGAGCGGTGGCAGCAGAGGGGAAAGCGCCGTTGGCTGCGCGCCGGGGTTTTTTGCTGCCTGTGGGACTGTGATTTGGCTGGGTGCGGAAATGCCAGCCAGGCCACCAATGCGCGTCGAGAGGACTGGTAATGTGCGGCCAGGGCGAGACAGAGACACAAAAGGGCGACTGTGGGAGAGGCGGCGGCTGGCGACTGCGTGGGCGGCTGGCGACGATACCGACACCGACACCGACGCGGATGGACATGGGCAGCATGGGGGTGCTGATGGTGATGATGATGATGCTGCTGCTGCTGCTGGGGCGGACGCAAGCGACGCACCGCCGCTCGTAGTAGCTCACCGCCGCTGCTGGCCGCTTATTGCTTCTGCGGACGTCATGTTGGCACGCCGCTGGCCTCTTCCCCTGGCAGCGCATTCACTCACACGTACATACATGTGTATACATACATGCACAGATGGGTACGTGTAGTGTAGAGAGAAACATAGTCACAGTCGTCGCGGGCTCAGCCGGGCGGCAGGCTGCGGCTACGGGGGTGGTGGGCTGCTGCGATGGCCACGGCTCATCACATCCCATCCTGTCCATCCTCTCTCCCACCCCCCCAGGCAAGCGAGTGGGTGGACGGGCAGGGTGACGCGCAAAATGCAGCTGGTGGCTGACTGTCATAGGGTGATCCCGGCATGCCCTCTAGCGCACCAAGCTTGCGTTTCGCGAATAGAAATCCCCGCCGGCCGCTCCAAATCAAACCTTTGATTCCTCATTCTCCAATCATCCAGCCTGCTCCCCCCATATCGCCCATTGCACTACAGCGCTTGTGTCCTTGACCGTACCCGCCCGAGCGCTGCCGCTTAGTGTTCCCTCGCACGCCTCGGTCAGACAGCACCCTACAAGACAAGACCATTCTACACCCCACAGACACTCTGCCCTCCAGCAAATCAACGCGACTCGTCAACCTTCCAGCCACTGACCATTCGCAACCCTCCGCAACCCGTCCACCGCATAGATCACGGGATCGCATTTCGCTGCGAGTTCAAAGCATCGGTAAGTCAGTCCTATCATTGCGCCCTGGTCTGCTGCAACGCGCTCCCTTGTTTTTGTCGTGTGAGTGAGCGCGTGCCGCCCGCCGCCAACTTCGCATACCGCCGCCGCTTCGCCAGGCACGAGAGGTGTCGTCCGTCTCTCCGTCGACGGCCACCATGCCTGGTCGCAGCCCAGCCCAGCGCTCTCTTGTCCACACACAACGCCACGCGATCCGCACCTATTGCTTCAGCCATGCATCGTCACAGGCTCATCTCCTGTTGATGCTTCCCTGGCATTATGACGCGTTGCGCCTTGCTCAGCTCGCCTGCCCGACCCGCTCCATCTCCACTCTGCCTGTCCATCGGCTTACATCGCATTAGGCAAAGGCACCACTACCACTACTACTACTACCACTACCACCACCACCTCTGCGCTGCGCATTCATAGTCTTGTATCCCGCTCTCTGCCTGCTACTTGGCTCGCGCCTCCTCTGCTCTCATTGCCGTTGCTGCTACCAAACGTGTCAGCTGCACACCTCAATATAGAGCTGCGCCGTCGCTGGTTGCCCTAGCTTTCAGAGCCGCAAAAAGTGACCTAGTCCATCTTGTCCCCGCTACGCCCCTGCAACCCGACCGCACGCGCGATTGAGAGACGCGCATGTGCTGTGCTGCCGCTGATTAAAGTCGGTAAGTGCCTCACCGTCATGCATGCATACACCTGCATTGCCAACGCATCGCCTCCAATCGCCCGCCCCGCCAGCACATGCCACCCTCGACATCCTCCAATTGCCCAAGCATTTGCGTCCTGAGCTAGCTGACGGTTACTCTTAACAGTGTAGACAGTTCTCTGCTTCATTTATGACTGGTGAATACCTGCAACGGTTCTTTCCCCACTACGGCGCGGCCCTCTAGAGCGCGTCGTCAACCTCACCGAGAGAAGCCCCTCTGCCCAGCACGAGCGCACAGCCCCACGACGCTCAATTGCGCCTCAAAGCCTCAGCAGCTTACAACCGTGCGCTCTAGCAAAGTCGCCTCAGTTAAGCGTGGCCATTGACAACGCATCAACCATCCGCCCTGCTGCGACGTGACCCAGCGTTCCCGTTTTGCGCGCCTAGATACTGTGATCCTCCCGACATCTCGCCTCTAAACAGCAAACAAGCCTACCTCGGACGCTTCTTTGAATACTCTATTCAGCTACTCGAAGCTGAGCTGCATTGATCCACACAAGACCCCAGCCAGCATCCTATCCACTCTCTCCAAAGTCCCGGGACTTGTACTCCTAGGCCCTGTGGTGATCTCATCTCACCTCTAGGCTCCCACACCAGTCGCATTGCTTCTTGCACTTGCACGCGAACCCTCCGCGCCCAACTACCCCAATTATCTCCTTTGGCACTCTACCCTTCTTCCGCCGTTGTCAGTTTGCGTATCACCCAGGGTGCGCTAAGCTTGAGCACGGGCCTGCAATACTCGACGTCAAAACCACCGACAGCCTCGTTCGCCCAACATCGCCATCATGACCGAATACGCACAGTTCCAGCAATCCCACCACGGGCACGCGCCTGCGCATATTCAGAGCTACGGCAGCAACCCGAGCCCTGCAGGCGGGAACCCTTCCATAACCTCACCTACGCAGCAGCAGATGCAACAATTTCAGCAGACATCGCCCATCTTGCCGTCACAAGGCTATGGCCATGGCGGCGCGCCGCACCCGCAACATCCTCAGCATCATCAGCAGATGAACTTTCCCCAGCAGCAGTACATGACGGGCATGCAAAATCCGTACCTGGCCTCGCAGCAGCAACAGCAGCAGCAACAGGCAGCAGCAATGGCAACGGCAGCTGCGGCAGGCCCGGCCGGATACTACGATCAAAGCGCTATCCCAGGCCAACTGGCACAAGACCCGCGCGCATCCCCACGCATGTCCGTCTCTCAGATGAAGAATGACGGCCGTGTTGCCCCACGGTCCCCAACCAACGTCAACAATACTATGAACAGTGCGCTTCCTTCGCAGGTTCAGATGACACCGACTCAGATGCAACAAAGACGGATGAGCACTCAAATCAGCAGCCCTGCGATGCAGCACCCACAGCCCGTCATGAGCCACGGAGGTCCACGGCCTTCAGTGCCCCCGCAAATGGCCCAGCAACCCCAACACCAACAATCACCAGAGCTCGTATCAGGGGGTCCCCAAGTTGAGGAGGCACCTCTCTACGTCAACGCTAAGCAATTCCACCGCATCTTGAAGAGACGACTTGCGAGACAAAAACTCGAAGATGCACTCCGCCTGACATCCAAGGGACGCAAACCGTACCTGCACGAGTCCAGGCACAACCATGCCATGCGTCGTCCGCGTGGTCCTGGCGGACGCTTCCTTACTGCAGAAGAGGTGGCTGCCATGGACAACGGCCAGAAAGGTGAAGGCGAAGACGGCAACAAGGAGAACGCATCCATGCCCCCCAAGTCTGGTAGCGCTGGACCGAAGCGAAAGGCTTCGTCTTCCCAACTCAAGGGAACACCAGACGTCAAGAAAAACAAGGCAGGTGCTGTACAGCGTCACAGCACTAGTGAGGATGACGAGGAGGAGGATGAAGATGATGGCGAAGACGATAGCTGAGTAGCTCTTCGATCTGTTTCTCTTTCTTCTTAGGGTAATTCGACTCCTACATGTTTTTTTCTTCCTTTTCCCCTTGTTAATTTCGACCTTTGGTACTTTCGAGAACCCCACCCCCCTTTTTTTCGGTTCACGATTCACGAAGCGAGTGCTTTTGGGATATTTGTTTGTCTTATACTCATGTTACCCCTGTTGTCATCATTGACGCCTTCCACACACATACACAAATTGTCGTAGCAATGGAATGAGTGGAATGAGGGCTACAGGTATGGCGAGGCGGTCTGAGCATATGGCACTCAGCTTCTGATGAGCCTGCTAGGGTCTTTGGTACTTTGCCATTGTTTTCAAATCTTGTCTACGGACCTTCTGTATATTTCTTTTTATCTTTTCTCTTATGACTCGATACCCACATTCGCTACATGTTTGGCGAGGATACCCAAACTAACGGCCAGGAGAGCCAGTGGTTATACTAGAAAGGGTCTCCTTCATCGGAAGAAAATCAATACCTTTTTTTTGGCTTGATTGCTTAAGTGCACGATGTTTTTCCTGGCAGTGAGGTGATGTGATTTACATTCTGCATGTTGCGTTACATTGGGTGTGCAACCGACCTGTCACGGAACTGTCAACATGTTGTTGCGGATCCAATTCCCGCGGGGATCTCTGTAATGGGCCTTGTACATATGTAACTACGCTATTAGCGGGGTTGGTTGGTCTCCGGGGTCCAGATGGATTTGTTGAGTCAGCAAGGCGGGTTTTTTTTTCAACGGTGCAGCTCACGAAAAGTTTGCGGCAGATGGTTGCCGCAGATATTGATTGGTGGTAGAAGGGGCGGGGTGGATGAGCGCGAACTACTACTAGTCGGAGGTTCGTTGGTGGATTGGTCATTGCTAAGTAATTCAGTGCGGAACTGAGGTGCGGGACCGCAGTTCGGTGACCAAGCGGAGAAGTGCATTTGCGAGGTGTGGGATTCTGCATGCTAGGCAAGAACGGCCAGGGATGCTACGATAAGCATCCTTCTCGTGCCTTCCGTCCAGGTACGCAGTACAATATGTGTCTTCTGCCGCGCCTTACTCCTGTCCGCCATTCCTCACAACAGCGACAAGATGACCAAAGACCCGCCCAGCCGCTCTTCCTCGGACGAGTCAATTCGAGAGGTTCAAGATGAAGAGCGAGAAGCCATCATTGGCGCCGAAAGGAGCGCGCTTGAGGAGGAATGGTGCAACGGCATTCGCTTGAAGGTCGACCTTCGACTATGCAGTATCGCGGGCCTCCTCTGCTCGCTCAATCTGCTTGACAGCGGTGTCATTTCCAGCGCATCCGTTACTTCCATGCTTCGCGACCTGGAGCTCGATGTCGGCAACAGATACTCCGTCTCCATATTCATTTTTACCATTGCAAGCATTGCTTTTCAGCTACCGTCAACAATCGCTGTCAGAACATTCGGCCCGAGAATCTGGTTTTCCTTCATCACCTTCTGCTTTGGCATCATCACGCTCTGCACAGCCTTTGTGCAAACGTGGCGGCAGATGATTGCACTCCGCATCTTGCTTGGTATTGCTATGTCGGGCATCTACCCAGGTCTGACCTATCTTATCTCCACATACTATACGCGGAAGGAGCAACAGCTTCGCTTTGCGCTGATGCAGAGCGGAGAAGTCATTGTGCTTGCAACGGGTGGGATTGTCAACTATGGTCTCAGCCAAATAAATGACACACATCTGAAAAGCTGGTCGTATATGTTTCTCGTGCAGGGGAGTATCACCGCCTTTATTGGTATCCTGACATATTGGTGGATGGTCGACTTTCCAGAGCAAGCACACAAATCCTTCTGGTTTCTCACTCCGCACGAGAGTGCTGTGGCATCAGCTCGCATTGAAAAAGACCGCGGCGATGTCCAGGCCGACCCATTTACATGGAGCAAGGTCTTTGTACACGCCAGAGACCCCAAAGTGTATGGATTTTGTATATTGTATTTTCTTCAAAATCTCGTCTCGACCTCACTATCATACTTCCTCCCAATCATTCTACAAGGCGGCATGGGATTCAGCTCCGGCAAGTCCATTTTGCTCTCTGCGCCACCGTACTACTATGCTGTCATTCCAGCTATCCTGTCGTCCCTAGTCGGTGACAAGTTTCAGCTGAGGGGGCCAATCATAGTGTTCAACTGCCTGTCCCTGATTTTGGGCTTCTGTATGCTCGGCTTTTCGAATCAGGTCACGGTAAGATACATTGGAACGTATCTTGCAACAGGGGCGTATGTGGCCAATTGGGCCGCCATGGCTACTTACCAGGCCAACAATATTGTGGGTCAATGGAAGAGAGTGTTTACGGCTGCAATGGTTACAGCGTTCAACGGCGCAGGTGGTATTGCTGGGAGCTTTATTGTCAGGCAGCCCGAGAGTCCAAGGTACATGACGGCTATCTGGGTTAGCATTGGAAGCCATATTCTTATCATTGGATTGATCGGCGCATTTTCGATCCACTTCTACCGGGCGAACCGAAGCCAGAGCAAGGGAAAGCGCATCTTGGAAGGAACGGAAGGGTTCCGGTTCACGTATTAGAGAGAAGAAGAAAAAAAGCTTAAATGTATGCATGACAAGGTGCAGCAGGACGTTGTCGAGCCGGCGTAATATAGATCCAGTCCGCAATTGTCTCGGGAATCCAGCTGCTACTTTCCCTTGTCTCTCAAACTCTATGCATTGATCGGTGTTACACTACGCTACCGGGCGGTTGTATGTACACGTGTATACATATACGTATATACGCATAGACTGCTGACGGCCGTGTTTCGGGCGCAGAGTAAAAAACAAAGGCGACGCGTGAGCAGTGCCATGGCCGACAAGAGTGCTAGACGGGGTTGCGGGAACATGGGACGAAAGCGGGTTGACGTCGTTGTGGGGATCTGGCTGGGCAAGGCGGATTCCATGCTGGCTCGTGCTGCGCGGCTCCCAAGCGTTGACGACCCAAGTTGCAACCATCAGTTTCATTTCTTCTCGGCTGTTAACAGCACGAGCATCCCCGCATTGCCGGTTGGTTGT